TTATTTGTTGTCTTTGTCTTAATTTTTTTGAATCAAATCTAAAGGTTTTAAGAGAAGCAGACACCTTTAAGAAACCAGACTTTGATATTATGGTTCAAGAAACCATTTTTAAGTACATAGAATTCTGTGAGGGGTCAATTTAGCTATACTCTTTATGTTGTGTAATCACAAGATTTTCATCTTAAACAAGAATGATCCATTACCATTCTTACAACATAGGACAAAAGAGACAAAAGTTACTGAATATAAGAGCTTTAAAAAGAAGAGGAAACATCTTTATCAAAAAGAAGAAAACCGATTAAATCCGGATACTGTACCTTTTAAATTATCATCATGGGTTCCCTTTTTCTGGAACAAGATGAAAACAAAAAAAACTGCAGAAGATAAGAAAAACCAAAAAAAAAACTTATATCATTATGTTTCTGAAACACTTTTGGTCTTGAGTCTTTAGCAAAAGAGCATTTGAGTTGAAGAAGCTTTTTTTGCTTTGTTAGTTGAACATCCTGAGAAAATTGTTTGCATAAGCCATCGGCTTCACGTCCGGGTGAGGCTGCCAAATCGCGATATCAGATAATCAGAAAGAGTTTTTTTCGATGTGAGTATAGAGATCGAATTCATAAGAACAATAAGAGCTATACTACACTCACCACTGCTGAGAATGTAACAATGTTCGGCTTCATCTCGGGAGCTTCAAAGCGAATGAAGGCTCCCTTGTTACCCATCTGCAACAATATTGTGTTACATGTTAAGTAAGAATCTGAGTTAAATATGGCGCTGTTTCAAAATCGAAGAGACGAGTTTTTTGAGTTACCTGATCACAGTAGTTTGGTGCAGAGAAGACAGTTATGAGTTTACCATCATGATCAACCTCATAACCTTCATCTTTTACTTCATGCGATCGGACCATCAAATCTGCCAGATTCATATAAGTTAGTCTATAGCCATCTAAACAATCAATTGGTGAACCCTCGATGTAACAAGACACTACACTAACCTAGATTGTTGTCTTCCAAAAATCTTTTTGTTACATCTCCACCAAACGATAGACCAACTCCTCGCTTGCTTGGGCCTCTTCCAGGGAGAGGTTGAGGATCACTCCACAACAGTTCACACATCAATCCTGAATAAACCATTAACGAAATTAGATGTTTTTAACAGACACAATCTTACAAAAGATGTGTAAAATGAAACGTACCTTCTTCGGGAGGCTCACAGAATCGGTCAATGGCTCTGATGTCAGAGAGTTTCACACCATCGACACTGAAGAGACCTCCATGCACAACGAAAATCTTCTCGTTGATAACATGAGCCAACGGTAGATAGCAGAAAACTTCAGCAAAGAGATCCACGAATTTTTCACTCAGCTTGGACCGAACTTCACCCTCAAAACCATATATCTTGTTCATGCTTTTGCTTTCATGATTTCCTCTCGCTAAATATATGGCTGCAAATTCAAAAGTATATCATATTAGTCTTGTCAACGATAACAAAAGCGATATAAACTTGAACGTCAAAGAAGTATTACAGCAAGTAAAAGAACTTACATGACGGACACATGCACTTGAAAGCAAATAATGTAAGGATGATCTCAACAGAGAATGAGCCTCTGTCCACAAAGTCACCATTGAAAAGGTACGGATTCTCCTCGCAAGGGAGACCATTAAGCTCAAAGATATTTAGGAGATCATAGAACTGCAAAAATAAACCAACGTGTCAAAGATACCCAATACAACACACGACAACCAATCAAGATATGAGTAGTAGAGAGAACCACAATAAAATTATGCGAATGGGTGAAACCAAAGCATACCTGACCATGAACATCACCACAGACGGTGAAATGCTTGCCATTAGGTACACTAATATCCACAAGTGAAGGCAGTGCTTGCAAGATTTGTCTTGTCTGTAAGACAATTTGGTATGCGTACCTACAAATATTATGCATGCAAAGTATGAACAAATGACCATTGTGTTAATTAGGTTCAACAGTACACCAAACGATACACACCTTTTATGCAATGTTTTTTGGTTCTTGAAATCTTCCATCATATTTTTCACAAAATCCAAGGTAACTTCCTCTCCCTCGATTCTAGCACCAGAATACTGTGGCTCAACCTCTACAATGAAATTGATGGAGAAGAGTATCAGTAACTCAATAGATTGATTAAGTATTAAAACCTCTTTAACAATGAAACTGGTAATAGTTAAAATGTAGCAGAAGAAGTATGCCGTTTTAAGACCAAAAAAAGAAAAGAGAAGTTTGTAAATCTATGAACTTTTCCACTCATGTTCATATGGTTTTGACATCATTATCATTAGGAATTTCAATTCTAAACTGAGATTCCAAGAGAGGAAACGTATCCAGCCTTTGATATGCATGAAAAATGATCCACATTGATCTCCCTAGGATGAGGATATAACCAGAGAAAAGACACTACTACCACTGAAGCTACCCCACCAAAATGTCCCTAATACCACCGAAACCAACACCATGAGTATCTCAGTTGTGGCAAATCCCCGGACCGCCACCACCATTACTGCTGCAACAACTGCTGCTAAAGCCGTTTTGGTGGGCATGGACGATGATCTGGGTTTGTTCCCTATTACGTGACAATAGGTTAAAGATTGATTACTACTGGTCTAAAGCTACACTCAACCTTTTTTCAACTGTGGAATCAAAGGCATGGCATAACAAGAGAAGAAAGAACCAGGTGTGACAGAAAAAGTTGCAAGCTACGAGACAGCAGCAAATAAGCAAATAGATGGAGGATACCTATGGTGTGGAAGTCAATGGACTCCGCAACTGAGCGCCTTTCAGATACAGGTACAGAGATTGCTTCTTCAAATTTGAGTTTCATCACTGCTTTCTCGCATTCTTTTAGCTTTCTTGCAGCATCAGGGTCATTAGGAGAAATCCTTTTTACCTGAAATATATATAGCAGACCATGTCAGCAATAATCACACTAATCTCTCTTAACAGATAAAGAGAGTCCAACACCAAAACGGATTCGTGCAGATTCTAATCAAGCTTCCACGACTTTATGACTTATCAGATCAAAAGAACAAATTAATGACCTTTACGGTTAGAGTTCAAGCTACACGTCTACAATATTCCGTGTCTAGTATTTTGTCATCTCTCACTCAAAGACGGTTAGAATAAATAGGAAAACTACTGATCGATAGCTACCAAGTTATAGAGGCATAAATGGGACAATGCTCGTGCTATAAACAATAACCTGTTGGAAATCCTTCAAGGCATCCTTAAATTTTCCCATGGCAAGATGCGCAGCACCACGCCTGTAATAGCCCTGTAATTCAGTTTTATATATAATCAGCAAATAAGGCTGAATATAGTTGAGAAGTAAGAACAAGCACAAATCCTGTTTACAGAATGATACCTTAGAGTATTTTGGATCAATCTCAATGGCCTTTGATGCATCAAGTATCGCACTGCCATATTCCTCGAGTTTCGTGTGAGCAAATGCACGGTTTGCCCAATACACAGCGTTATTGCTGTTGAGTTCAATAGCTTGTGTATACAGATCAATAGCATGGGAGAATTTGTGACCTGTAAATAACTAACAAAATTTAGAAATCTCTTCTTTAATTCAAATTAAACAGATTCCACAAGATTTTGTTAAACATTTTAACAAAAGCACACACCTTTAAAAGCTTCGTTCGCCTGATTTTTCAACTCTTCGGCTCGTGAAACATCAGACTTCTCATTCTTAGTCTCCATGTTTTTTCAGAATAAACTTATCTCTTCTTAATTATCCGGTGAAGCCAAAACTGAATGGACAAGAACAATAATCAAATTCACAATTTCCACAAATATCAAACAAGTTCTACTTAACAGGGAGCTAGTTTGAGAGCTTTAAAGATTGAATTCAAACTCAAATCTAAATAAAGTTCAATTTTTTTTCATAATACAGCCACTGAATTTAGTCATGTAACGAGATTCATAGCGAAAAGAGGACTCAATTCACACAAAAAAAATCATTCGTACACATCAGTTAAGTTAAAAAAAACACACATTAAAAAACTAAATCCAGATAAGAAGCAAAACAAAAAAAAGTTGTCAACTTTTTTCATATCCTGAATCGTTTGCAACAACGAATTGGATATTATCAACGAAGAATTAATGGCCTTAAGAAGTCAAAAACATCACTTGCAAACAAATCCAGTGAAAGATCTGTTAA